CTCACTAGGGCCCTATCTGGTATCTGTTTCTCCTTCCCACGCAATGGTGCAGCCGACTCAGCCACTATTGATTTTAGTTTGATAGCGTCAGCTGGTTTCTTGCCGGTGAGACGGGTGATTTCGTGGTTGATGGCCGACACCACCTGAGGTAGCTGTGCTACCCATTCAGTCGATCGTTTCCCCGGGTTGGCCATCTCTCTCGCATACTGATGTCCGAATAAGCGCTCAGCCAAAGTCCTATTGAATCTCTCAACTATAGCTTGGCTGCGATGGGCTCCGGCCGTGCCACCCTGACCTTGGTATCGTGTTTGTCTAGCAGGTGTGACACGACACCCATGAACTCCCGCCTGGGGTCGACTCACAGCTCTGTGGGCCACGTCAGCGGGCTGCACTTGTATATGCATTCGAATCCGCAGGCTACCTAGGCCGAGTCTTTCGCGGTCAAGGGTTCAGCTTCCTTGTAGCGACTGGCAACGTCCACGACGGTTAAGGCATACTTGTACCTCTTATCGTGTTGTAGGAATAGGAGGTCGGCCTGGTGAAAGCTATTGGGTATGTTAATACCGAACTTCCTTCTAGGCACGTAGCGTGGTGCCGGTAAATAGATCTGCCACAGGGGTTGTTTTTCAAGCCACGCTTTGGCCTTGTTTCGGGGTACTCGCGCCATTTTAGCCAGCTTATGTACGGCGCTAGCTCCTTTCCAGTCCCCACGCGGGCTGTAGTAAATAGACTCAGACTTTCTCTGGTTCCGTGACATGGTATCGTGTTTATATATACACCTATGTTCTTGGTTCAATTTTCTCATGCCCGTACGCGTACGTGTTGATCCCATCAATAGCTATCCAACGCTTAGTGTCCATTGGCGACAGGGACGTCTTCTTTATCATCAGTCCGTATATCCTATGCCCATCACTTCTAAGCGTGTTCATTTTATGTCTAAAGGTACGGGTCTTGAACAGGGCTTCCTTGAATCTGGCGTAGACGGGCAATTTGGGACTTGAACTTCAGTTTGCAGAACCCCTACCACGTCCCGTCACTCTCGTCTGCTACGAGGAATACGAAAGCGTTTGGAAATTGATCGGTTCCGTAACGCTCTGATGGTCTAAGGATGGACGACAGTGGCTTGACGACCAAACACTTGAATGCCTACGTACAACAGGATCCCCTGCTGCGACCCCTCTACCAAGGTACCTTTGCCCGAGATCACTTTGCTACCACCGTGCTGTGTGAACAACAGGGACATTATCCTAAAGCCTACATTGTCAACACAGACCCCAGCCATCTCCCAGGACAACACTGGGTGTGCGTGTATCGCCCAGCACCAGGTGCCATTGACTACTTTGACAGTTATGAACTCCATCCCTACCAACAGCATCCAGACTTTCAGAATGTCATGACCTTCGCCGGATGACTCCAACAACAGTGGAATGGTGAATCACTTCAACCCTGGTTCAGTGCCTCTTGTGGGATGTACTGTTTGTATGTACTGGCTCCTCGTGCCCGTGGATGGTCTTTTGACGAAGTGATGGAACAGTTTGCTCACTACGATACTCTCGTCAATGAAGAACATGTAAGACGTTGGTTTCAACCCACACCCTGACAGACAACAACGATGGCCATGATCCACAACCCTGGCAAAGGACACAACCTTATCGTTCTGATGTTAGGATGTTACAGTTATGATGTTATGATGTTACAGTTCATACCGTTTGTAAACAAAAGATCAAGGACGCCCCTAATTCTGCCTCTTTTGTCAAAGTGTTCTTGTTAGCGGGGGAAAATGAAACGTTTGAAAAAATGGCAACCTATTGTTGTTATTATTGTTGGCATTGAAATGAAGCCTTCTTTTGAGAGAGATGGGTGGCCCTGAAAAGGGCCCGTTTTTTAGAGTGTACCTCACTAAAGGGACCAGAGCTGGCACCTGCATTGACAGGGATGGATGACCAGTTTTCATTTCACCGGGCACTTGCTCCCATAAGTGAGGCGACGGATGTAGGTATTCTTCAGCACGGTACCGCAGTACACGCACTGAAATGTCCCGTTATAATCTATGCTACCGTTGACATAGACGGGCAGGCAGCCATGGCATAGGTGGCACTGCCATGCCGGTAAGGGTGGCGAGGACGAGGGTGCCTCCAAGGACATTAACTCTTAGTCCCAATTTTCAGCCATGGTGCGGGTATCTGGCTTTGGTCACCCGCTCATGATATATAGGAGAGCTAAGCCAATCAAAGACCATGGCAGCGCCACCACCTCACAGTGACGTCACCGGTGCCACGTCAGCACCCTCATGCGCGACCATGACGTCATCGACGACACGTCATCGATGTCTCGTTGCCTGTATATAAACTCCAGCATTGGTCAGTGAGGGCTATCTCGATGCAACATGGACACAAGAAAAGTGGAAGTCATCGACCTGCACCTTACCGGAAAGATTGCGGTAGACAACAATGCTTGCGGTGCAGCCCTACCTTACAAGTAAAGGGTGGTATCAAAATGGAAGAGGCAGCAACAGAACCGGTTCTGATACCAACAACGGCAACAGAAGCAGCGGCAGCCCCACCACCACCAATAACAACGGCAGCCACATCGAAAACATTACCAAAATGGTCGTCAAAATGGCGACTTGTTATCTGTGCTACCTGTTTCAAAGCATATCCCTCAAATCGCTTCGATGTCGTCCCAGGAGCTGACTTTTACATTTGCCTCTACTGTGGGGAAGGGATCATCAAGAGAGGACAACAGCAGCACGATGATGTGTGCCCCGGTAAATATATTTTTCGAGGCCTCAATCTCCTCTGTGAATGTTAACCTGCCTTGTTCACATACCAACGGCCCTTTTCAGGGCCACCCAGCCCGCTCGAAAGAAAACCGCATCACATGCTTGAACGACACACTTCTCTAGCCACGCCATCGCCCCCTCACCACCCTCCCTCCCTCTCCTTTCCTCCCTCTCCTTCCCGTCCGCAGCTCGTCCGTCCGCCATCTTGAAATGCGTCTACGCTCGCGAGATCCCGCGAGTTTCCACGAGATCCCGCGAGATCTCACGTGATCCCACCGGATGGGCCGCCATCTTGAAACGCGTCCGCCATCTTGGCCCGGAGATGACGTCATCGTCATGCGCGCGCACACACCGGAACCGGGCGTGACGACATCGCGGTGCGTGTGAACACATCAGAACCGGAAGCACCGGAACACCGAGTTACCACCCCCTGACCGGAAGTGACGCCATCTTGGATCAAGATGGCGGCGCTCACGGTGACCAGATGTGTCGCAATCTTGAAAATCCCGCCAGCGTAACGTTGTTCACTACTACTCCTTAGTGTGAAGTGAGGTTAAGTCTCTGAAAATATACAATATGGCTGAGAACACATTTCATCTTAAACGGAGTTCCAGTAAGATAACAGATACAAGGAAGATCGACATTCTATAATTGGAACGTGGTAAACAAACGCTGTTTAATAAATGTATCTGAATACATGACGAGTTCATCCTTATGTTTTACAATCCAGCCTTCATCGTAAGCACGATGAAACATAGAATGTCGACTTTACCTGAATTAAATAGGATTCGAACCAGCTTCATATGTAAACGAGTGAGTTAGTGAGTTTAGTTTTACGCCGCACTCAGTAATATTCCAGTTATATGACTACGGTCTGTAAGTAATCGAACGCCTCCGTGGTGTAGTGGTTAGAGCGTCCGCCCGCAGAGCGGAAGGTCGCTGGTTCGATCCCCGACCGCGTCATACCAAAAGACGTTAAAATATGGTACTTGTTGGTCCCTGCCTGGCGGCTCGGCATTAATGGGTACAACAAGGACTGGTCGGCTCGGAGTCAGTATAATGTGTCTGAGTGGGGTATTCATGCTTCACTGCGGCATGGTGTCTCAGTGGACTAGCACTATAAACCAGCTTCAGCCTGGGCAAGTACAAGCAGCCGCACTTACACATACACACGCATGCACGTCGTCATATGAGCGAAATATTCTCAAGCACGACGTTAAACCCAATTTCACCTCACCTCACCTGTAAGTAATCAAGTCTGGACTAGACAATCCAGTGATCATCAGCATGAGCATCGATCTGCGCAATTGGGAACCGATGACATGTGTCAACCAAGTCAGCGAGCCTGACCACCCAATCCCGTTAGTCGCCTCTTACGACAAGCATGGGTTACTGAAGGTTCATTCTAACCCTGACCTTCATGGGTCATATGTAAACGATGAAATACTAACATTACAAACAGATTTTAGACGAAAACGTTCTCTAAACGGTCCCTTAAAAGTTGATATTTATGGGGTTGCCTAATAAAGAATTTTAACTGCGTAAAAGGCCCCCAACATGGTGCTTGGCTTACGCTCTTTGAATATACATGTATATATACTTTTGATAAAAAACAAGAAAATCCTCTTAAATCAAAAGGCGCTCACGTGAAATGGGAGAATCAGAAGAAATATAGACTTACTTAATTTAGGGCTTAGGATTGTAATAAACTTTGAAAATATTGGACTTTGTCAGAGGTGAATTTCATTGTCTCATGCAGCGTGTCAATAAATCGATTAGCTATGCTTGATGTGACGTCACAATTGCACGTGCTTTCCCACCCTTGAGGCTCTTCCTGCAACAGTTTACTGTTACTTTACCCTCGTAAAACTTCACACGGAAAACTGCAAAACAAAATGATGATAGTTTGTTAAGTAAGTTTTTTTTTATAATGGAGATAAATGTTATCAAACTTTTTTCCATAGTTGGTCTGATGTTTTCATTGCATTCTGCGTTGAAATGAATGTTTGATCACGAACAGATTTGGAGTTAGATTGTGATTCATCTGTATCATTTTGACCCAAGCAGACGAGGCGAGGCGAGGCGAGGTTTAACGTCATACTTAAGAATATTTCGCTCAATATGACGACGTGCATGCGTGTGTGCAATGTCTCAACACAACCGTAGCTACAGCTCACAAAACTACCAAACGCCTCCTGTTGCATAAAAGCTTGCCATTGATCTTCACATGTTTATACCGTCATAGGACTTCTGTAGCAACTGCTCTGCGCCGATGACCGGGCCCATACCTACGATATCGACAAGTGATCAGATGTCTATCCCCTGCGGTTGTCGAAGGTCGGTAAATTTTTGTTCTGCGACAGTCTGCAATTCTACACATGGCATGCTTAACTCATAAACAGTTATATATAATATTCGTGAAACCTCCAACAGGCTTGGAGGACGTGAAACTTCCAACAGGCTTGGAGGAACATAATCAGCATTAGTTCTGAACGCCCTCCTCAATAGTTGTGTTTTTGTTGTAAATACCCTTCCAAGCTTTAGTTGTGAATTAAGAAGTGGAAAAGGAATTATACAGAATGATTGTCTCTGAGCAAAACCTCTGATATGATTATACTTGTATGTTTTATCGCATACGTAAATACATTCCTTTTTCGAGAGTTCTCTAATACATATGTATGTATATTTGACTCTTGATAGCGGCATAATATTATGATGTGGTCAACTCAATGGCTAAAACGGCTTCCGATTAAGTACAGTCTATTATCGATTGCATGTTGTGTCGCTAATGCAGACTTTTGAAGCGTTCCTGGTGTTTGAAATGCAAATAATTATGTCATGTCGATTTGTCATTGCTGTTATCGTTGGGGAAGCCTAGTGGTTAGAGTGTTCGGTTATCACGACGAAGGCCCGGGTTCGATTCCCAACAGAGGTACAAAGCCTGAAGCCCATTTCAATTGTCCTCCGTCGTGATATTGCTGGAATTTGCTAAAAGCGGCGTAAAACCACACTCACTCGCTGTTATCAGTACAACATGTGTTTTTGTCTGTTTCAGTATAAACATCTACGCCTCATTCTGAGATAAAACATGAAGTTGAACCAAGCAGTCGTCGGATTTGTGTTTGGAATGGGATGTTGTGTAGTTTTATACACGATAATGATGAATCAGGTAAGTCCTTTCATACCTAGTTTAAGCACCAATACAGAAAACGTGAGTTTAACATAGGATATTTGAAAACTTTAATGTGAATTGTACACGCATTTTATTCGGAAAGGAAATTAGTTCCTAAACGTGGACTAGTGAGTTAATTAATACGCATGCCTTAAAACCTTTAGAATAAACAAGGAACGACATAGTGCTTAACTGACAAATGACATGTTGGTTAGGTTTATGCCCTCTGTGGCACTTGGCAAATTAATTGATGAGGGTCAAGTTTCAATTCAATTCAATGTATTACTCAAAACACCACCAACGGTGGTACATGAGAATACAATAAATATATACAGGTCAAGATGGCAGATAAAAGCGAAAAAGAACCAAAGGTTAATGTGTGGCACGCGAGTGTGTCTAGTGTCCCTTTGTGGCACGTGTGCAGCAAGCCGTAACTGATCGAGGGCTAGATCAATAACACCTTTGATTAACCTTATTCAATCAATTAAGTTTATTAAAAAAACACCTCACCGTGGTACATGGATGTACATATTTTTGCGACTATGATGTGACTGTACACATTTACACTTTTATTAATGAGATAGCAATAACACCAATAATTAAGTACCATTCACGTACGTATTTACAAAGACGAGAAACAACAATTGCCATGCATTTATTACAATAATTATAAACATCTATCAATCTCAACTGAATTTGAATACCACATTGACAAAAGATACTGAAGTTTACTTGAAATATCTTGAGAAATATATTGCGATGGGAAAGTGTCCTAAAGTAATTACACAATTGCACACATTTGGATGGTGTCATGGAAGCTTCAAGATCAAGTCACATCAGGACGAGTGATACTGGCAAGAAGGCAAGTCCAATGAACACACGAAGCCAGTGCTGCACATGAAAGGGTCTAGCAACAGTAGCTCTTGAGTATCCAAAATGTTAAGCACTCTGTAATCTGGGTAAATTCCTATTCAAAGCTTCACAGTTAAGACTAATTTTTACTGTAAAATGTGTTTGTATGTTCTTCTTATGCCTATATATTGTACCAAACTAACCACCCTGTCTGTACTAAGAATGTATATAACCGATTAGCTGCACAGATAAAGGTAAATTGAATTGAATTGCGTAAAGTAATCTTGAATTCACGTCTCATTACACCTAATTATCTGAGGTGAGCCGTGAGGTGAGATTGGGTTTAACGTCGTGCTTGAGAATATTTCGCTCATATGACGACGTGCATGCGCGTGTGTGTGCGGCTGCTTGTACTAGCCCAGACTGAAGCTGGTTTTATAGTGCCAGCCCACTAAGAGAAGTAACCTGACCAAACTACGCTGCGGTAATCTAAAATTACGTATAGAAACAGGTCGTTACAGCAAACCCCCAACCCCTCTGTGTGAGAGAATTTGTCCTTTCTGTAAATGTGTGGAAGACGAGATACATTTTCTTTTGCACTGTTATTTTTATCAGGATCTTAGATATCATCTTATAAATGGAGATTTCAAGTATGATAACAATGTGCATTTATTAAGTATTTTAATGTCGTCAGACCCGTTAATTTTACCGTGAATAACATGTTTAGAAGACGACTCCTATTCCTGTAAAAATGTTATTCATTTAAACTACCTCTTATATTTTACTCTAAAACGAAATGTACATAGTTATTAAATTGTGTATGGTGTCTCATAAGCCTTATTGGCTGGGTGAACGATATTTTATTATATATATTGTGTATTTTATTTCATGTAATCGTTCACGTGACACCTTAATAAACTATATCTGTCTGTCTGTCTGTCTGTCCTACCATGCCGCAGTGAAGCATGAATATCCCACTCAGACACATTATACTGACTCCGAGCCGACCAGTCCTTGTTGTACCCATTAATGCCGAGCCGCCAGGCAGGGACCAACAAGTACCATATTTTAACGTCTTTTGGTATGACGCGGCCGGGGATCGAACCGGTGACCTTCCGCTTCCGTTTAATGGGCCACTGATCGAGGACTGGTTGTTGCTTTTGTTATTGTTTTTCACCCGTGCCCGGATGATATCCCATAACTCTTGACTGGTTCGTGACCTCTGCTGTCCTACCCGCATGCGCAATTGATAGTATAAGTATAGATTGATCAACAAAGAGGAAATCTTTTTTATTCGATAATATTTCCATTACCTTGTTCGAGGAATGTATCCATCAATATCCACATAAAGGAACGACATGCCATTCGCCTTCAGCTGACAAAGAATCCTGTTCCATGTCAAGTGTCTTTTAACGGTCTAATATGCGAAAAAGTGATATATAGTTTCAGGTTTTTCACATTGGTGTAGAGTCTGATTGGTCACCCAAGATAGCACACCTGACAACTAATTGCACGATGTCCGCCATTCTTTAACAAAGTAATTTAGTTAGCCAATAATAAGCAATCAATCAATGTATTGGCGGTTAATCCTCTGAAGGGAGGAGGTTGTTTTTACACAGTCACTTTACGACAGAGTGTATTCAGTATAGATTAGTAAATCTACATACATAAACACTACCTTTTGACAAATCCACTGTGCAAAATAAAAGCAGTTAATCAATCAGCGCGTTATTGGTTAATCCTTTGATCGATGTTTGTTTTTGTAAGTCCGCTGATATAATCCCTCTTGCTGCACTTCCAAGCGCATATTACATAAGATGTAATACATTTGCCACATCAGACCTTAACCAATAATGAAGGAAAACCAATTGCAAGTTCTATGGATAGTCAATTTCTTTATTGCAATAGGTGCGACGTTTCGGTGTAGGTACTAACACCGTTATAATATAAATAAATAATAAGTACATTTATAATGCACCAAATCCAGACACAAAGTGTATGCTCATAGCGCTACATAAGAGATTCTGACATCTCCAGGTTAAGAGATCGCGTCTAGAAATGATTAGAACTGAGTGAAGAGAAATGTTTTGAGACTGTCTTTGAACATTTGCAGAGTAGGGATTCCTTTCAGATAATCTGGGAGTTTATTCCAGAGAGTGGTGGCATTGTAAGTAAATGATCTCTGGCCTCTGATCTACTAACACCGTTATCAAGCAACAAAACGTCGGACTCATTGCAATAAAGAAGTTGATTATCCATAGAACTTGGTTTTCCTTCACCTATACACCTTCTAAAATACCTCTCAAAGAACTTAATTAATAATGTTGAGTATTTATCCCAGACACGAGAAATGCCAAACGGGGACCTTTTACGGGTAGTCTGCGTGGTGTTACCACTAATTATGCCTGTTATAAATTCATTAACTGACCATCAAGTGTATGATGACAACTAGCATGTAGGTTTATACCACCAAATACTGGTTACATAAAGGGAGTAGTAATCGTTGTGTTGCATGCAGTTCTCATTGCCTGACAAAGACTTATAGACATTTCAATGTATAAATTGTTCTAGATTAATAGTGATAATTCATTGCGCCTAACAGGCAGCATGGCTGTATGATCCCCGGGGAGTTGAAAAAGTATCGGCTAGTATAATCAGGGATAATCTACAACAACGTTATATAGTCTCCCTGGTATAATGGTGTCCTATGAGCGGGGATAGTAATGTACGTAGCGCCGTAAGCAGGTAATGTGTCTGGATATGAGCGCCATAGAAGCAGACTGTTACTATTACATTACTTCTCGTCACGATATGAATGATATACTGCCGATGTGACGCTAACTCAGTCACACTCACTGTAAGTCGTAAACAGTCCGTGAGTCCTGCACTGCCAGGCCTTTGTCAACTACCACCAGGGTTTACTAGACTTTGTGAAGCTTTGTAGCTGCCAGTTCGCCATATTGAATGTCCCAGCTGAGAGCTGTGATTTGCATAAGAAGTGGGGCAAATGCTTCTTCAGTGACTGCTTCTGTCGCCGTTCGGTGTATAAACGCAGCTATTGAAAAGGTCGTTCAAAACACATTATCACTTACTGTTGGGTTGTACGAAAGCCTGATGGCGACACTTTTGTAGCAAACATATTTTACTTCAGCGAAAGTTCCCGTTGCTTCGAATATGTTTTTCCTTTCTTCGATTATTTTCTCGTTGCTTCGAGCATTTTCTCGTTCCTTCAACTTTCTGTCAAAAAGTAACGAGAAAATACTTTAAGCAATGAGACAATATTTGAAATTTCAACTTTTGGAAAAATTTATTGAAACAACAAGAAAAGTTTCGAAACAACGAAAACGTAATTAAAGTAACGCGAAAATACTCGAAGCAACGAAAAAAAAATTGAAGCAACGAGGAAATAATCGAAACAACGAGAAAATACTCAAAGCAACGAAAAAATAATCGAAGCAACGATAATTGTCGCTGAAAAAGAATGCTTTATGTTACAAAAGTGGCAGTATTAGGCTTCGCAAGGATAAGCTCAGGACGTAAACCGTTCAATGTGTTCGATCGAAAAAAAAGTGGCGCCGTTTGCTGGATTTGGGACATTTTGTTTTCTCTATTTCCATGGAAATAATTTGTACTTTGTCTTAAATGGGGAGGATTGTGTTTCCGGAGTACAACTCAACGGCCGTTCATTATCTTCAACAGAGCTTGATAGCTACAATTGCGCAGATAGATGCTCATGCTGTTGATCTCTGGTTTTACCGACTTCGGTAACAAACATAATATCATATTCGTACTCATATCATACTATTTTTACGACACTCGTACCTAAATATCCGTATATGCCTCGCTCTCACTCGGGAAATACCAACATTTAGGCACGAGTGTCGTAAACATAGTATGACATGGACACTCATATAATATCCTCTATAATAACCTCTATAGAGGATATGATATGAGTGCCCATTATATGATATACCGATATTTAGGCACGAGTGTCGTAAACAAAGTATGACATGGACACTCATATAATATCCTCTATAATAACCTCTATAGAGGATATTATATGAGTGCCCATTATATGATATACCGATATTTAGGCACGAGTGTCGTAAACATAGTATGACATGGACACTAATATAATATCCTCT